ACACTCTGAGGGAACAGTGTTGAGTCACTGAGTGAGTTTCTGTGGCTAAGGATGTGCTTAAACCTCTCCTCTCCCCCCCCCTCCATCTTAATCCAGCTTCTTGGCCACTGCTGCACTACTTTTTTCTCACTCATATGTGACTTTCCTGTACACAACACAGAAATTACAAATCAGCTTAAAAAAAGGAAAAAAAAAACCTTAAGAAGTTAAACTTCGCAGGAGAATAAAATAAATTATTCTAAAAATATATACCTGTTTTCAATGTATATGAACATATTTCATGTAATACTAAAGCCAGGATATCTCTCCAGTGATATGTAAATCATTTATGCAAAATGCATGTTATTACAAGTCTATCATATCCCACAAAAGCAGTGAATTCCATTCAATGTCCAAGTTTGTTACTAGAGATTCGGGCTACATTTATTCTTGACAAAATTATCCTGCAGGTAATCCTTAGACAACTATAATGGAGCTTGTCCATTACGGTCATATATTCTGATGGTTGTTAAGTGAACGTAGTAGTTGTAAGAACAAACCTACTGTTTGTATGGTGCAGTTTTATTGAAAACTGGAAGTAAGTGCTGGTTTTCAGCAAAACCATCAAAAAAACAGTCATGTAACCACAGGATGCTTCAAATAGCACCAAATGTGGCCTCATTGCTGAGCACTTAAAGTGCAATCATGTGATCATGCGTGGGAACCAACGAAACTTTGAATCTGAGTTTTAAGTCCCCTTTCCAGGTAGATTGTAACTTTGAATGGTTGCTAAGCAACCAGTCATAAGCCGAGGATTGCTGTATAGCTGATGATTCTAATGCAGGGGTCCCCAACCCCAAGCCCGTGGACCAGTACCAGGCTGCAGCATGCCAGCAACCAGTCCGCACAAACAAGGAAAGCCCCATCCTTGGGATGCAGGCAGCACATAAAACCAGGCCCCCTCCGATCCGTGGAAAAATCTTTCTCCACATAACCAGTCCCTGGTGCCCAAAAGGTTGGGGACCTCTGTTCTAAGGAACACTAAAGAAGTACAGAAAAGCACTGCTTTTTCCTGGGTCAATCTTTTGGTCCATCTAGTCCAGGGGTAGGCAACCTTGGCTCTTTTATGACTCGTGGACTTCAACTCCCAGAGTTCCTGAGCCAGCTACTCTTCAAGTTGTTCATTGACAGCAGGAGTGGGGAATGATGCTCTTTTTATGACTTGTGGACTTCAACTCCCAGAATTCCTGAGCCAGCCCTGGGGGTTGAAATCCACGTCATAAAGGGGCCATAGTTCCCCATCTCTGATCTACAGTGTCTGGATAGACTAATTTTAAAAGCTGACGGCAGAAGACACATTCAGACAAGAATTTTCCCACTCCCATCTGCAGATGTTACAAGTATAAAACTGGGTCTCCAGAATGCAAAATATACCTATTTATTACTGAAGCAAGTCCTCTCCTTTAAAACAGGGGGATACTATTATCAATCAACCAACTCCTCCTGATTTGTCAGTGAGCACGTATAGCATTTAGAAATTAAATATGTTCAAAGAAGAGGAATTTATTCTGTTTAACCTTTAATGAATCAGCTTGTACACAGAAGCAGAAGCCAAATTTTAATCCTTTTATATTCTCACAACTGGAAGAAAAAAATCAGTTACAAGTTCAGGTGTTAAGGGAACAGTATTTGTTCAGACATTTTTGCTTTTAATTTATTCTGTAAGGTAAAAATGGGGAATGGGAGTGCATTAGTCCAGATCCATCAGTATTAATTACAAAGCAAGAAACTATTGTCTATAGAGCTGACTACTCATTTTTTAGGATACGTAAGTCTGCTTACTCATTTCCTTAAGCTAATTTTTTTTTGAAACACCCTGGTGAGTAATCTGCTTTATCATTATTTGATTTTTATACTGCAGTTTGGTGCCCGAGGCAGAAAATCTTTCTGGTTAACAACAGTTCTTCCATTTGGAACTGCTAATTAGATTCCTAGTTTAATCATGGTCCAGAGAAGTGAAGGGTTATCCAAAATTAGAATATATCATTCTCTATTATACATTTCATGCGATTTATATTAGCTGTAACATTTAAAAAAACCTTCAAAAGGCTAGCATGTTCCTTTATTGCGAGTAATACATTTCTAGCATAATGATTAACAAGCAAATGGAAGACTAAGACACATATCAATCTTACTCAACCACAAACAGGCTAGATTTACTGTGTTTTATTGTCTACAATGTCCGGATAAATTAATTCTGAAAACTGTTGGAAGCAGAGACTCAGAAAAGTCACTGGCAAAACAAATCTCTATTTCAATAATCCTGTCTTGTCTTACATTATATATGTAAGACAAGATGGAGTTGTCTTATATATGCTTAGCATGTAAAACATAAGTATAATGTTTAAGTCTTCTATATTACTGAGAAAAATTAAAGACTAGTGACAGAGAAGATAAGTTAAATGTCACTTGACAGACTGTTCTATAATATACACTGTATTTGCCCAAAAGGAAAATGAAATTTTTCCTATTAATCAGTTCTGATTTATTTATTTAGCATATGGCAAATCAGTTCTGAATTAAAGGATCTTATGTTTAAAAATAAATCTAGTTGTGACAAGGAAGGGAGGGATGAATCTAAAATTCTGTATATGTATATTAGAAACCACCATCTCTTCTTTTCTGGGTTTTCTCCCATTGCTTCTAAAAGGGAAATAATTCATTCTCATCCATTTCAGGGACCATAAACATTTCATTATAGTTTGTTTTGGTTAGGATTATTTTACTGCTCACTATTAGAATCAAAAAGATTTATATTTCCATATAGTCATGTCCCCCCTCCCCTGCATGCAAGAATTCCCCATTTTGCTTCTGATTCAGACTTCCAGGATGGAGGAAACAAACGGAGAAGATATTTGCAAAATTGGATTTTTTCCTAAGAAGGCAAATATTGCCTTTGCCTTCAGTCAGTCATCATATGGATCAATCCCTAGCACATCCTTGTAAGGAATAAAGGATCGGGACTTTGAGAAGTTTATAGCCTTTCAATATTTCAATTAATAAAGTAGAACAGAGGCATCAATACAATTTTCTGATCGCAAGATAAAGGCCCAAATTAACTCAGTCAGCTTCATGTCATCATAGGATATGAACCAAGTGAAACAATTCGTTTTGTGTATATGAAAGCGACAATAATTCAGAATCACAATGCTACCCAGACTGTCTTGATTTTCAGGCAAATCCAGGTGCTACCAAAGTTGACAAAATAATATGCAATCTTTCAAGTACTGTTCATCAAACAAGAAAAAATTGGCAATTTGATGAAATGCAGGAGATATTCATGCTAGGTTCTGTTGGAGAGAATAGATCCTGTGGCTTTTGAAGCATCCAGCAAATTATATAATTTAATGTGACAGACAGAAGAAATAGCTAAATATATAGAAGTAATCATTAACAATATGTATTTAATTCAAATTAAGCTGAAACTGAATTTAAATCAAAATTACTCTTTTTTTAACAGCCCACTCTTTCTTTCATTATAGTATGATCTACTTCTTGGATCTCAGTCCCCAAAATATTGTATATCCCGATTTTACTTTTAAGCCAGTCTTTTGCTGAAGTAAATAATACTGTTTTTTTTACAAATATAATCCAGGAATTGTTATAATTCTCTGTCTTTGGGTCAAATATAGTTCTTTAACAAATTGAAAACCAGTAGAAGGAATTAGTTCTTGCAACAACACAGCCAAATATAATTTGAACTGATGCCCAAGATAAAACCAATTTGCCAAAATAGGCAAGCAAGTGTGCCTTCCGCTGCAATGTTATTAGAACAACAATAGCAATCAATGCCAAAGTGACATTTCTAATAATACTTCAAAAGAAACAGCAATGCAGCAACTAAGGGCTGGTTTGGATAGAGAAAAATCTTGCTTAGTTATGAGTCAATACCTACTTCAAAAGGTAGGCGAAGGGTTCAATGGCCCACAATTTTCTGAACACTTTAATCATTTAATGTCTCAGAAAAGAATGAAATCACACAGAAAAACATTAGGAATGGAAATGCAGTGTTAAAACATTCCCCAGAGACAAAGAGGAAGTTTCTATAAAAAGATGTTAATATTCGTATGCAAATATATTACTGCAAGCTCCAAGTACTATAATTGTATCAGATACTCAAGAGGACAAATGAAAAAAATATCACTACCAAAAACACTGGGGGAATGAAATGCAGTATCTTCAGGAAACAGAATGTACAAAGATATCCTATGAGTTCAACTGCAAGTAAATATAGCTGAAAGAAAATTATACTGGTTATAACTTCTCCTGGATCTATTTTGAAGTTACTTTTTATAAAAATACTAGGGTGGCTTTAGGATTAGGAAGTTGCAAACGTCGGGCTTTTTTCATGCACGTTTACTCAGCTGCATTCATGAACTTATTCCCAGGCAGGCAGGCAGGCCCCTTGAAGGTTAACCCCGAGATCAAACTCCACAAAGAGCCCTGGCAAAAACACGGATCGAAAACTAATATTAGTATCGTGTGAATCTTTACATGGAAAACACGAGTTTCCTTCCGCCACTAAGGCAGCATAGATCGCTGTTGGGTTTGCTTGGAGCCTTTAGTTCCCCCCCCCCAAGACAATTCACGGGGGCCGGTTTGGGGGGGGGAGAGATAATCCACGCCTCCCCTTTCCGCGCCAGAACAAAAGACCTCGGGAAGGACTTTCATTACTTCCCAGCCCGCCTCGGATTTCACTCCAGGAGCTCAAGATCTTCTCCCTTCTCTAGCAGCCCCGCCGCCCTCCCCACACTAAAAGTCCGATCCTGAGTAAGGGGGGCTCCGGAAAGGGATCCCGGGCGATCTTTCAGATAAGGGGAATAAGATGGGGGGGCTCCGTCCCGCTCATCCCGCAGCCCATCCACATGAATAAAGGTGAAAGGGAGGAGAGATACAGGAATCGCTTTGCCGCCGTTTGCCCCCCTTTCTCACTCCCCCCCACCAAACCCTCGCAGCCCTACCCGTGCCATGGCCGGGCTCGCCTTTGATGGCGCCGAGGACAAGCTGGCTGGCGGCGCAGGAAAGCTCCTTTCTGGCCCTTCTCCGCCGGGCCTGCTCTCTCCGGGGCGGTGTCCGGCGGGTCCCTCACTCCTCCGCTCCTTCCCCCGTGTGGCAGACCCGGGAAAGGAGACAGCCAGACCCGCCAGTACCGCTGCTCCCTCTTCGCCTCCGGAAGCGCATTCCTCGCTGCTGCCGTCAGGCGGGGCGGGGCGTGCAAGGCGCTGAACTGGGCCCTTGGGCACGTCGGAGCGCGGTGGGGTTTTTCCCGGCCGCCCTGGAGCTGGCGGGATCCTGCCGTTCCCTCAAGACCCGCCCGAAGGAAGCGAGGTGCTTTGCAACCCACACCTCGTGCGCAACTTTGTGGACTTCTCTGCCGGAAGTGAACCTTGAGGTTTAGGACGCAGGTTGCTGCTAGTAAGCGGAGAAGACCATTGCCTGAAATCTGGGATTAGTTGAACTCAAAGGGTTTCCTGATTAGGACCCGAGCTTATAAAATGAAGCTCATCTTTGCTAAACCAGGATCGAGCATCCTGCTTGGGGGTACACGAGGTTCTGAGCCATACGTACATCATAGATGGCTGGATTTGCATGGCGCGCCAAAGCACAAGCCTACCTCATTGTGCCTTGGTGTTTTGCGTGAATGCAACATGTTCATATTACCAATAAAGGAGAATATTTGTAGCTCAGGGTTGAAATAAGGGGTCCTTGGTGCTCTCTGAGCTTGGCTGGGTTTTTTTGCATATGTTTCATTACCCAAACTAGGCAACATCATCAGTACTGATGATGTTGTCTAGTTTGGGTAATGAAACATCTGCAAGAAAACAGCTTAAGTTCAGAGACCACCAAGGACCCCACACAAATTGGTGTCTCCATTAAGGACTTTTAGAACCTATCCTTACAGCCAAGTTAAAATACTGTCTACCAGAGACTGATAGCCAATTGAAGGAACAGAATTGGTGAACTCACATCCCACCCAGGAGGACAACAGCCATTAATCCTTCCCAATATGATGGGAATTTCGGTGGTTGCCTAGAAGGGTGAGCTTAGTGACTAAGGAGCAGGAGTTGAGATCAGACTTGGAGTGAAACAGGAGAAAGACCTCATGGTCTTTCTCAAAATCTGGTAAACCTGGCTTTAGAAATAATCTTTCTGACAAGTCATGGGCAAGGAGAAGGGGCATGGGATGAAGCTGGAAGTGGGTCTCATTTGATAATTCCTCAATGACCAGCCCAGGGAGTTTCTGTTCCAAGTGATTTTGGCAAGATGTGAACTGGAAAAAAAATCCTAAATAGTTCTTGGTTTTTTCAGGCCAGATATGATAGCAATATTGTAAACCTTCAGTGCATTTTAACTTTTTTTTAATATTCTAGAAAAATGTTTCTCAACCTGACTTTAGCTTCCAGAATTAATGTACAATGTTCCAAAAGTGATTCTAACTAGCACATAAAGGTTAAAAAGTAGATCAGTTTTAATAAAAAGCAAAATACCAAGCACAATCCAATTCATAAAGAATGACATCAATCCATATCAATGTTTCTCAGTTTGAAGATGTGTACTTTGACTCCCACAATTTTCTACCTAGAATGCTGGCTGAGGAATTTTGTAAATTGAAATCTGTATCTATCAAAAATCTGTTGAGGTCCTGATCTATATTAGCCAACAGAGCTCACCTAACTACAAAGATCAATCACTTGAGGAACAGCCAGATTTTTAATGCTTTATGAAAGGTTAACTGGATTAGGTCTATCCTAGTCTCTTGGGGCAGGTTGTTTCATAGCGTACACACTGTTACAGAGAAGGTACTGTGGCAATGAAAATGCTAGATTTTTATCCAGGCACTCAGATAGTCCTTTACTTATGATCACAACTGAGCCCAAAATTTCTATTTCTAAGTGAGACAGTTAAGTGAAGTTTGCCTCATTTTACAACCTTTTGTGCCATATTTCTTGAGTGAATCACTGCTATTGTTAAGTTAGTAACACAGTTGTTAAGTGAATGTGGCTTCCCCATTGACTTTGTTTTCCAGAAGGTCTCAGAAGGTGATCACATGACCCCAGGACACTGCAGCCGTCATAAATATGAGTCAGTCGCCAAGCATCTGAATTTTGATTATGTGACCATGGGGATGCTGCAACGGTCGTAAGTGTGAAAAACTGTCATACTTGTTTCAGTGCCATTGTAATTTTGAACGGTCACTAAATGAACTGTTGTAAGTTGAGGACTATCTGTATGAACAACTTTTCCTTTATATTATTAGTAACTTATGCCAACCCTTTTTTCTGTTTTTAAGAAAAGAATGAAAACACCACACCTATAAGAGATTAACTATCTCTTAAGAACATCCTTAGACCTATAAATCACAATAATAAACTCTTTTGCAATTAATAGGAATATTTCTTTACTGTAATATTGATCCCAATATTACAGTAAAGAAATGATCCCAAATCATCATTAGTGATTGTAATTAGTAATTAGAATCCTTTACTAGTATTACATAGAAAATGGAATGGGAAGCAGATATGGTAATGGATCTATTCTGATTTTTTCAACTTAAAAAAGGATGAAAGGACAAGAAGAGGTTTCTACAAAGTTATATTATTGCAGTTTCATGTCTTGGGTTCATAAGAGAATCAAGAAACAGTAGTATAATTGTGTTGTGAACTTTTAAGGCAGTGTTTCGTAATCTGAGCAACTTTAAGAAGTATAGATTTCAACTCCCAAAATTTGTCAGCTACCGGTAGCATCCCAGCTGGGGAATTCTGGGTGTTAAAGTCCATACTTCTTTAATTTGCTGAAATTTAGAAACACTAAATTTATATGTATCATTAATTATAAGTCATTCTAGTGTATTTGCTTCTGGGTGGATATTAAACAAGAAAGAAAAGAAAGAAAAACGTTTAAAAATTAAAGCAGGATAAATGGGATGAAGCAGGAAAATGAGCATATGATGAAGTGCAGGAAATATTTTAAAGCCTTCATGAGGTTGTGAATGGGTTTTATAGATTTACTGAAGTAGATAGATGTTTTTTTGGCACACAAAGAGGCCTGGAGGAATTTGTGAACCACAGAAACATAATATAACTGAAGTTTTTGTCTTCTCCATGTGAAAGTTTTTATTATTATTATTATTATTATTATTATTATTATTATTATTATTATTATTATTATTATTATTATTATTATTATTATTATTATTATTATTATTATTATTATTATTACCATGATATATTTCAAACCTTATTTGCATTTGGGCAGTTGTAGAAATAAAATCATTTAAACAAACAAGCAAACAAATTCATTTAAACTATAATGGTTGGGACCTAATCTCGGATATCATAAGCAATGTAATGATAGAATACAAGTCGCCTTGACTTACAGCCAAATCGAGAGAGGTACATCTGTCACTAAGTGATACCATTGTTAAGGGTAATATTGACCGCACACTTTTATAATAATTTTTGCCATCTGGCTCCCCTCATTGACTTTGTGGAAGTTGGCTAACAAGGATGCAGATGGTGATTATGTGACCCGAAAACGCTGCAACAGGCCGGTTGCCAAGCCCCAAAATGGCAATCAGTTGACTGTGAGGATGACGCAATAGTTGTAACTGTGAGGATTAATTGTAACTCACTTTTGTCAGTGTTGTTGTAACTTCAAATGGTCGTTAAACAAATGGTCATAATTCGAGGACTACCTGTGCAGCAATGAACTTTCGCACTAACATTTCCAATTTCAGAGAGATGGCAGAAATTTTGCTATGATGGACTTGTTCTTTTACCAATCCTATCATAAAGTAGATTAAAGGAGCAGTTTTTTGAAGCAATAATCTTGAGACTGGGTGACAGGATTATACCCTGACTATTGTGAAGGGTCATATCCAGAATAATGTACATTTAGATGTTCAAGGAAAATATATATTGTATATTGATAGACTAATTGATAGACAAACTTAACTATCATTTAAATTTGGGAAAAGGTACATTTTGGTAATTATGATAATTTTTAAACATTATCCTGGACAGCATTAAACTGATTTCACAAGGTGCTGAACTCATGGTTTTGTATAACTTCTACTTCTCCTTTCCATGGAATCTATTCACACAAACTCAGGTCAACAGTATGATGGAACTCTGAAGTAATGAAATTAACCAGATAGGTATTGCTTCAGAAATAAATGAAGAATGAGAAGTTAGTTGTTGTAATTAAAAGGACAAACAAAATATGTTTTATTGTGTTTTGATGCGGGAAAAGTAATTTCTCAAAAGCAGTGTTAGTGCTTTTGGCGGTGTTAGTCCCCAGAGTTTCTTTTAAATGCTAAAAATAAAAGTTTTTGGTTTTTACAGTTCAAGAAAGGACAGTACTAACATTAATATTATGGCAGTGCTGGTGAAAGCATTTGGGTGTAAGTTAAACAAAAATTTCCACCAATTTTAGGTATGGAGAGGTCCAACATGAAAAAAGTTGAAGTATACGCATCTTCATGCTATTGAGGTTGAGAAACACTGATATAAATTAATAGCATTTTTTATGAGTTAGATTGGGTTTTTGGCTTTGATGTTTGGTTTTTGTTAAAACTGTTCTTGGTTTTATTCCTTCTATCACCTAGAATCACTTTCTAGAATGAATGAATGACTACATTTTACTCATGCACCATACTTCAATGATAACTATATTTTGAGTCATATTATCACAATGGTGGCATGCCAGACTCAACATAGATAGTCACTCACCCTGTAGTCTCCTCATGAAGGAATGGGGCTGCCCTTGAACACCTCTTGGAAATCACATCTGGTCCAGAAAGCAACAGCTGCATTGGTTACCTGTTGGCTTCTGAGTGCAATTCAAGATGCTAGTTATCACCTATAAAGCTCTTCTTGGCATTGAGACTATCTGAGGAATCATCAGTTGAAAGCCACAGACATATGATCATGGGATGCTGAAAATAGCTGTAATGTTAAGCTTGTTGCTAAGTGCACAAAATGTGATCATCTGACTATGGGGGACTTGCGACCATCGGAACTTCCAAATCAGGTTGTAACTACCTTTTGGTGGGGTCCATTGTATCTTTGACTGGTTGCTAAGCGAGGACTATCTGTACCTACAA